TCGAAGTAGCGTCATTCTTATATACGACAATGTTCAAAACTCACTTAACTATATTAATATTTGTGAAGTACAATTAATATTCCACCTAGACATTTAACTGATCTAAGTACTTAAATACTTGTGAGATTGATGTATTTTAAGTTATTGATTATCTTGTATTTTTATTATTATTTCAACAAAACTAACGTTAAATACAAGTTTAAAATTAACATTGAATTTTTATTTTTAATATTTCAATGACATTAAATCTAAACTTCAAATAATTTGTAATATAATTTTTTTAATTTCTTAAAAAAATTATAAATATCCATGGATATCAGCGGGTATTCAAGAAATTCATGGATACCCGCTTAATGGATACTCGCGCGGATATGGGGTTAATTTTCATCCAGCGGGGTGGGGACATGTTTACTATTACCTACACCCATGGAGCCCCATTGTCATCCCTAATCCAAATCAAATTAATTAAACTTGGTTCACATATTAGATTTACACATTTAAAATTTGAATCAATTCGAATCAAATATATTATTATTTTATTATTTTTATTTAATTAAAATTATATATATATATATGTATCATTTTGATTATTTTAAAAATATTTTTGTATTATAATATGTAGATTTTTTTTATTCCTTTTTCCAAGTACTTAAAAAATAAAAAAGAACTACACTGTAATATATTGAGTGTCATTTTTTCACACATTGTAATGCATAATGCATTTAAAATCCTTAAGTAGGTTGAGAAAAGAAACCAAGAGGGACTATATTATAAATCTATTAATTTAGTTAATTTTTTACAATATAACAATCTAGTTAATGTTGAAAAATTCATTTACTTTTTAATTATTTTTTTAATTAATTGGATATTTGATGATGCAAATCGAACCAACTTAATTAACATTGAATTGGTTCAGTTTGAGTCACTACACCAAAATTTACTATTATTGTCAATTATTTAATATCAATAAACTAATTATCTCTATTTTATTATTTAATAAAAAATTTAATGACTAATAAATAATAATCATTAAAATGTATTTACACTATATTAAAATTTACTATGATAATTATTTAATGATAATAAACTAATTATCTTTAATTTATTATCTAATAAAAATATTTATGGATAATAAATGATAATCACTAAAAATATATTTATATGATTAATTATTGAAAATGGTTGATAAGGGTAACTTTTAATTCATTTTTTTGGAAAAAACTAAAGTCTCACATCGATTAAAGATAAAACAATTAAAAAACATATAAGTTATGGACAACTCTCACCTCATAAGTTGATTTTGCAGGGTTGAGTTAAACTCATAACTTACTATTCTAAGATGGTATCAAACTATGTAACACATATTCGGATATGATATGGATACATGACACAAACACGAATACAGGAATACGGCAAAATCAAAAAACATAAGACACATGGACATGACATATATATAATATATAATATAAATAACATGGAAAAAATATTATATATTAATACAACAATGACTTACTAGGTCTCAAAAAAATTTATTAAAATATATCATATTCATAGTTTTTTTTTAAATCTCGAATCCTTCCTTCGTTGTTTTTATTTTTATTAAAAAAAATTCTTTTCTATTTTTTGAAAGTTAAGTAAGGAGAGATAAAATAAATTTATTCATTATCTCTATTTTTATCAATTTTTTTCTTTTTTTAAAAAACAAATATCAAATCTTACTTTCTTTATTTCTATTTTTATTGAGATTTTTTTTAAAAACAAATCTCAAATTCTCCCTTTTTTATTTATGTTTTTATTGAGATTTATTATTATTCTTTTTTATTAAAAAAATCTCAAATCTTGAATTCTCCCTTCATTATTTTTATTTTTAGTAAAAAAATATTTTCTATTATGTGAAAGTTAAGTAAGGAAAGATAAAACAATTTTCTTCATTATTTCTATTCCTATCAATTTTTAAAAAAAAAAACTCAAATCTTACTTTCTTTATTTCTACTTTTATCAAGATTTTTTAAAAAAAAATCTCAAATCTTCCCTTTTTTGTTTATGCTTTTATTGAGATTTATTATTATTATTATTTTATAAAAAAAAGTCTCAAATCATCCCTTTTTTGTTTATGTTTTTATTGGATTTAAAAAAAATGAAATCCACATATCGAATCGTACATCAAGATGGAGACATGTTCATTTGTAAGTATCTTCGATAGAGACACATCACTATTATAGGTGTTCGTGATGGAGACACGTCAATTTTGTAGGTGTTTGTGATAGAGACATGCCTAGTTTGTGTGGATATGATTTGTCGAAGTGTCTGAAATGCATTCACGGTGTGTCCACTCCTAGAGAGTGTCAGACTCAGGGACATGACAGTCTCATGTCGTGTCTGTGCAACATAAGTATCAAATCACCCATCATTTATTCATGTACCAAATTCAACAGTACTATAGGATAATCTTCACCTTACAAGTCTTACATCTACTAGAGATAAGACAATCAAAAAGTATATATAAGCTACAAGTTCGACATCAATTATAAATAAAATAATTAAAGACTATATAAGTTAGGAATCGATGCACACAAAAACTCATACATTTTTCTTGATCATTATAAGAATCTTTATCAATATACAATAAATATTTTACTGACATTGTATAATGGAGGTAAAATATTTTATAGCCTTTTCTATTGCCACTAAAAATTATATTAAATACCACTAAAAAATTATTTTATTGTAATAAATTAAGTAAAAAAAATTATAAAATCCTAACCAATTCAAATCAATTAAATTTAATTGATTCAGATTAATTTTTAAATAAAAATTTAATCTAAACCAATCTAACTCCATCCGTAAATATTTGTATTGTAAACTTTTCATGCGTATTAAAATCTATTTCAATTTTTTTAAAGTGATCTCTCGCACTGTAATTCCGTTCTCGTACTTGGGCCTAAAACAATGTGTTATGTCGAAGTAGCGTCATTCTTATATACGACAATGTTCAAAACTCACTTAACTATATTAATATTTGTGAAGTACAATTAATATTCCACCTAGACATTTAACTGATCTAAGTACTTAAATACCTTGGCTCTCCAAAATTGGACTTCATTTCTTAACCTCTCACCTAATACCTAAGATCCAGTGATAAAGAATAAAGAATAATAATTAAAATTTATTTTATAGCTTTCAAAAATAAATCACCCATTTAATGCGTATACATATATATTCATTCAAGAAAAAAAAACATGTTCGAATATCAAACTTTCAAATTCAAGAATTGCAGATATTTTTAATTTGGAGATGGCTTTCCTTTGATTATACAACACCTGCCATAAATTTTAGATTTAGGTACATTGATGTTATTGACTTTTGCATCAGTTGCAAATCTTTAGATATTGGGGCGGGGGTATAGATGGATATATATTGAAAAAAAATTGCAAACATATTTTGATTCTATAAATGTATAGTTTTTCTTTAGAATTGATTTCTTTTTTCATATCTTGAAAACGAATCATCCATCAACCAATAAGCTCAATGCATTTTGAAAATATCACCAAATAATCATTTGTCTACAAAAATGGATTAATTGTACAAAAGAAGCTCAATATTATGGAAACTCAAAATCTTCCCTTCATTTTTAACTTTAATTCATCTAGTATGATTCCCAACTCATCAAGAGAAGAAAACAATGATCGTGTTTTGCTTTTTTTTTTTTTTTTTTTTTTTTTTTTTTTTTTTTTTTTTTTTTTT